GAATTCCAGCCTACCGTAGATTGGCCCTCTAGACCCTCGTTTGACAGGTGGCTGGAATTCCAGCCACCTGTTTTTGCCATGTGTTCGATCAGTTCTTGGGTTTGCTTATTCTCAAGGTAATGTTTGAATCGCTTGTTTGTACCGTGCTTCTCGTTGTACTGTCTCAACAGATCAGAGACAAGGTACATTCGAATACCATTATCAAGGCACATACGAATCTTGTAGTCGTAGAAGTCAATCTCTTCGAATTTCATTTCTATTTGTATTTATGTATTGAACTCTTTTAAGTACAATAGTTACAGTAGGGGACACTACGTGCCCCCGGGGAAGCTTCGCTTCCCCTTACACCCTCTGGATAGCCGGGTCAACAGCGTCGTGCGTGTACAAGTGAAGGAGTGCCAAGTAGCCACAGTTGTTGGCAAAGATCGACTGGTATTTCACTTTGTTCACACGGAACACACGGTTCGTACCTGTCAACGGGAAGTCATTCATCTCGCCAAAGCTGTCCTGGTAGTTCAGTGTTCCGTCGTCTTCACGGAAGCAAGAAACAAAGTGACCGAGCTTACCATTATCCTCGAATGGTATCCAGATGATGCAATTCATCGGTTCTTTGTACTTCTTTGCCAAGGACTTGTACTTGTCCAATTCCATCACATCGAAGTCGGGTATCTCGAGTTGCTTGGCCAGTTTTCGAACTTCATCGAAAGTCATTGGTTCAGCATCCATATTCATGTAGCCGTGCATATACAATTTCTTCAATACACTCTCCTTCGAATTACTGACTCGTGCATCTTGTTCTCGTTCTGTGGAAGGGCTGTGAGGATGCGATTCTTTTTTTTCGTCGGGACTTCAATTGCTTGTGTCTCGTTGTCCAGGTCAGAAATATCGTAGCCAGTGCCAGCTTTGCTTTCCTTTCCTTGAATCTGGTTTGCCACATCGCTAACCGAATGGGACGACTTCGTCGTCCCGGCGGAACGAAGTTCCGCCACCGTACCCTTCGCCATGTCACCTATCACATTCGCGAGCTGCTTCACGGTGTCCGATCCTGTCTTGTTGCTCACATAGTTCACACCCTTGTTGATCGCGTTATTCGCAGCATTCGTGCCAGCATTGACCAGGATATCGGTGATGGGTTTCAACTTCTCGGCATTGTTGTCGTACCAACCTTTGATCTTGTTCCAAGCATTCTTGAAGAACGTGCCAACACGACTTGAACCGGCGTACATTGCTCCACCTCGGACTTCGATGTTTTTACTTTGTCGTTCAATGGCTTTCATGGTCTTCAACACATCGTCGTAATCGCCAGGGTTGATTCCATTGAGGAACACAGCAGAAGCACCACCGAATTTCAGCGCGCCACCCTCCTTACCCTTCACTAGCTCTTTGAGGCTTGAGATGATCTGTGGAGCCATCTGAATGAGTGCTGGGATGATCGTGGCAGCAAGAGTACCAAGTGCTCCGCCTTTCTTGAGTCCGGTTAGCTCGTTCATCAATTGCGCTTCATTGAAGGCTAGTGCGCCACCTGTGTCCGAAGAGAAGCCAATGGCACCACCAGAAGCATTAGATTTACAACCTCCTCCTGAGCTAACGTCCTTGGTCGCCCCATTGAAAGCAATAGCTCCAGCACTTTTCGCCGAAGTTCGCTTCGTTGGAAGCCTTCGGCTTCCCGGGAGAGCTTCGCTCTCCCTCGTCGCTCCTCGTTTCTTCCCTCTCTTTGATTGCACTGGTGCTTCGAGTTCCTTGTGTAGATTCAATGTCTTGCGTCGATCCACAATCGTTCCACTATCCTGTTCTCGGAAATCGGGTTCGCCATAGAAAGCAGATATATCAACAGTGAATGGAATTGCCATTTATGTATGGGGAAATCGTAGATTTTCCCGGGGAAGCTACGCTTCCCCATTCGTACAAAGTGAAAAGAAGATCAAAGATATATTCATTAGCCATTGAAACCTTGTGTAGTGAACATATCCTTGATCGTGTTGTACGTATTTTGCAGATATTGCTCGAATTGTTGATCTACATTGACAGCAAACCGTTTGATCTTGTTTTTCATGTAGTCCAAATTATCAGGAGTTAGATCCTTACTATTAGCTACTCGTATGAAGAAACTCATCAGTTCGGGGTCTTCATTTCGATCACGATAAGCCCTGAAGAGACGTGAGAATCCAAGGTCATTTGCAAATTGAGCGAAAACAGGATTGTTGAAATTGCGAGCAAGCAAACTTGAGAAAGCAATGAAATCTTCGCGAGTATCATCGCTTTCCCAACTTTCCTTGGTGTCATTAGAATCTTTACTTTCATACGCGTCAATCAAGGCTGCAGCTCGATTCACTTGATCGATTGCTTGAGGTGTGAAACTAGCATTTACACTTTCAGATTGACGACCGTCCAGTACAATCACAGGTTGAATTTGTGGCTGATTCCGGAAATATTCATATGATTGCCAAATGGCATCCATTAAGTTCTGGATTCCTCTCATATTCTGCTGATACAATTGTTGATATAATTGTTCCCGGGACAGCTGAGTATCAGCAAATTGATTACTCATTGTAGTAAGCAGCTGACCAGTTTGAGCATGTCCATCAACAACTGCATTACCAACATTTGTCAACAGGTTGTTAGTTTGAGTCTGATTGTCAGTGAGTTGATTAACAATTGCACCCGTAGAATCTTTGATTAACTTGGTTGTTTGAGCTTGTCCTTGTTCATATTGGTTGCCCAGAGCATTCGTACCATCCAATAGTTGTTTCCTAGTTGCCTTTCCCTCTTCTGCAACCGCATTACCAAGAGCTATCAGATTCTGATTCGTAGTCTGCAATTCATTGGACACGTTTTGAATCAAAGGTGTGAATGTATTGAATGATTCAACCAACCGTTTGTTGATTTCATCATATGCTTTTGCCAACTCAGCAGATACAAATTGCTGAATGAAGCTGTTTCGCTCTAGCCATTGTTTCAAGAAATCATTGTACTGCGCCTTCATGAACTCTGTCAATCCATCAATTCGCATTTCACTTTGGGTTGGAATCAATGCTTGGATATCAGCAATTGCAGGAGGATCAGGTTTGTTTTCAATTCCTTGGAGACGAGCTTCGACTCCTTGCAGATATCTATTACTCTCCTCAATCACAGCCTTCTGTTGATTTACCAAGTCACCAATTTTCTGGATCAAATTGTCATCTCCTGTTGCAATGCTTGTTGCCACTTCAGCATACTTATCACTCAACGACTTGATTCCATCGTTCGTATTTGTCAATTTTGTTTGTACACCTTCCAACAATTCTAACATCTTAGGATAACCCTTGTCCTTATCTTCCAGGAAATTGATTCGTTGTGCTACATAAGCTATTGCATTATAAATATTGCCAAGGTTCACCTGGATATCAAAGCTGTTCATCACAGCAATCACTTCATCCAACTTGGTGATAATGGACGACACATCCATCTGTTGTACGATTTCATTCGTCACATTCACAGGTTGTGTTTCGGGTTTGACCATCCATCGACCACGTTCAACACGGCCTGCAGATACCAAATCCTCGTATGCCTGAGTACCTCGTTTCACTTTCTTTGTCACACCACGAACATATACCGTAGTATTATCATCATTCCATAGTAGAAATGTTCGCTCTGGATCACCTTGTGCTGTCACATTATCTCGCAAGCCAGAAAAATCATTATGAATTATTGCACTCTGTTGAGTAAATGTGTTGATACTTTCTCCCATCTGTTGAGCTGCACCCGTTATGGCATCAGCAGCATTCTTCATTTCGTTGATGCTCACTCCAAGATCACCAGGCAAATTCACGATTTGTGCATCGCCAACCTGTGTTCTCTTGTACTTGATACGATAGGGTGATACAGGTTCATATCCAAATGGATTATCAAAGATAGCTCGTTTCTCCATATCAGACAACTCGTGATTCACAGATTGGACAACGATCTTGTTGAATTGTCTCTCAATTTTAGCATTGTAGACCACATTGTCCTCGAATGAGTACAACAGTACGTTCTCATCATCAATTCGCTGCATTTGATATCCACGCATGTCAGAGACGGATACACGGCGACGTTCAGCGGGTGAGAGATTCATGTACGAATCAAACAAGGTTCGCTTCTGTCGCCATTGTTCGCTCCTCATTCGCTGTTGATTGAATTCACTTTCAACGACTTTATCGAAATATCGATTCAACATTTTGTCCATCATGTTTCTCGATTTCACTTTGTGTGGTTTGAATCGAATGATTGGAATTGTAGCAACGTATTCATCCATTTACTATGGGAGGAACAATGTGGGGCGACTTTGCCGTCTCCCCTACTTTACTTTGGTGTAACAAGATATCGTGAATGAGATGTACACATTCGAATTCAAGGAGATCGGACGGTCATTCGCATCTGTCAGTACCCAGTCAATGTAGTCCAGGTTCGATTGTTCAATCACATCGATCGATAGGTTGTCCCAGGTGATCATGTTGTTCAGTCCCATCGATACATGAATCAGGTTATCGATCAACGGACTCTTCAGACCGAATGTTTGAGCATTGATACTACTGTAGATTCGGATCACACTCATGCCATTCGTGATGTCGTAGGGTTCACTCGCTACCATGCCTGCCTCAACGATACCTTCCAACTTGAGGATACTCGTGTAATCAGGTGCGCCACTAAGGTCAACAGCGGTCGCCACATCACTGTTCAAGTATGCTCGGTTAACATCGTCTACCTGGATGGAATCGGCTATCGCACGGCATAACTCGGTAATCGAGTAGTAGCCAGGACCGACGTTGTACACCATTTCAAACCCTGACAGCATTTGAACCTTCACCACATTCATTGCACGAATGTTCCATAGAGAAGTGGTATCGATCTTGCATGTAATCGAAGTGATCTTGTACACAAGGTCACGAGGCATGATCACTGTGTTGAACGTTTCATGGTATCGTTCGTTGTTCTTCGGAATTACTGTATTGTGGTTAATCACACTCACCGGTAGTGCACGATTATGACTCATTTATTGTGTGGAAGTGAATGCACACTGTAATCGGCATTGGCAGGGCAATCGTTGCACCGGTCTTATCGGTCAACGAGAATGACCATTTGCGACTTTTGGGTACCACGACGTTCATGTGTGCATTCTCCGTGTACGTGTGGGGAGTCGTAGACTCCCCGGGGGAAGCGAAGCTTCCCCCTCCTTCGTTCAATACAACCAACGGAGACTGTCGTCGTTCTTGCATGTTGTTCACTCGATCAAGGACAAGGCAGGTGCCAGGCGATTCTCCCTTCATAGTCACTCTGTCGATTACCATGTCGCTTTTGATGAGATTGTTACTTGTGAATTCATGTTCGTACGTTCGAGCAATATTGAACACTAGATTCATTTATTATTTCCTCCTGAAACGGTGAATCCGATTAGCAGGTACACGTTCCCAATGAACGATAGCGGGTCACCATTTTCGTCCTTCAATTCGTACACGATGCGATCAAGCAATTCAGAACATGGTACCAACATGCGATTCTTGTAGAAGTAGTTCTTGTACAAGCTGTCCATCGGGACATTCGCAAGCAATGGTATCGTCTTGCTTTTCACGATGTTGCAATACAGCTGTATGTTCGATAGACCGTTCGTGATATCGACAGGATACTCGGCAACCATCGGACCTAGTTGGCATAGTACACACCATCGTCGAAAGGGATACGCCATGTATGCGATTGCGATCCTGAAGCGGGAACGATGGTTCCCAGGTTACCACTCAACGAGAACACGTAGTCAGCGTGAATGTAGTACCCATCTGACTCAGCTTTCCATCGTATGTTCAGTGCAGCCGAGTCAAAACATTGATTCATGCGCCATATCATGTCAGCCTGTGTCAATCGTGATGGTATGGTCCACGTGAATGTCTGAACGTCATCTGTGTACGTGATATCAATCTCAGCAGCACTATCGTCCAGTGTCATCATTCCGTACGGGAAGCGAATCGTCGTGTTAGCCGTGTACGACTCAGATTGTTCCCAGTCAACGAAGGTAGCCAATGATGGAACAACAACTTCATCATTCCTCACATAGTGGGGCAGCGAAGCTGCCCCGGGGAAGCTTTGCTTCCCCACATACGTAACACGTGTCGGTTGTATGAATTCGATCGACACAGCACGATCGGAATACGTACTACCTTTGATCATATTCGTCACATTCAGTCCACCGATGTTTGCCATCGCAAACTCGTAAGGTGATGTCAACTCGGGCATCCTGATGTAGTAATTGCGATAAAACTCGAAATAACAAGACAAATACACACCACCTGGTTCAGCGTATGGTCCGGGTATAATCTTGAAACATGGATTATCACAAAACAATATGAATCGTGGTTCTGTACCATTTCGACATCCCATTCGTACTCGACCACCATTATCTGCAATGACATATACCAAGTACCTTCCGAGAGACGCATCTACATATATCTTATTGATCACATTAGCGATCATATTCACGATATCAATAGCGCTATAATGACCTCGTTGGATTGTGAGAGGTCTTTCGCCATATCCACGTATTCCAAGTATAAAATTCGTCGTATCGATAAACACTTTCGTGTGATATATACTATCCTTGGAATACCAAGGTCCGATCGAAGAACCATTCGATGACACCAAGTCACCTGTATTTTCCGATGTGATATGCAATTCCAATTCTGGTGCATAGTCCTTCGCAGTCCATGACATGCTTTCTCTATTGTCATTCACCGTCCACGCAATCGCATTCTGGTGAGATGGAGGTAGTTCCATAGCACTCGCATATCGAGCATTGAGTTCATTAAAACATGTGGTTGTAAGAGTATTCATCTTGATCGGGGTAGACGTATCTTCCGTTATGTAGAATTCACCACTATCGAGTACTGAACCATCAGCTAAACGCATCGTGTATGTCGCGAGAGGCTTTAGCAGGAACCGATTATCATTCGTACGCATTTTCCAGTCATACGCAATGAAGGTGTTTGATCCTATGTACGCATGACCACCAATACCTTGATCATTCGTCATATCAGGTGGTGAATCGCTTTCAGGGTTGAACGAAGCTTCCACTGGTCGTTCGATGCACAGGTTCTGCACAGATGGAGACAGCTTGAACCATGGAGTCCAACCAAAACCATTGATCGTCGTGTCAACGCTGGATCGATTGAAATACCATCCGTCTGCTTGGACATTGAAGCGAACATGATCATCCTCGATCGTCATGGATGTGAGTGGAAGCACTTTCACCATTTCAGCACCGACAGCCTCGATGAACTCGGAGAACGTGTAGTAACCGACAGGCAATGTCAACATGTGCGAGACAGTGCCATCAGTAACAACCACGTGATTACACGAGGAAGACATGTAGTAGCGCTTCGGGTTATCCACTCCTTTCACCAAGATGTCCGATTCGAAACCAAGGATCGATCTGATCTCTGGTGCATTCGTGAAATCAATCATGTAGAAGTGATCTACCGTGATGTGGAATGCGTTCTCACCGCTATACACCAATTCGAACAGGGCATCACTTGCATTCAGCTTTGCAATGATCGTTTCGATGTCGTATGCACCGCGTGGTATCGCGATCTCTTGAATCGTAGCGCCAGCATTGATTAGCACCACTTGATCAGTCGGCACGTTGTGCAACACGAAGTCCGTATACAACGACACAGACGAGATGTAGCACTGGTCGAACGAGAGAGGATTGTCCAGCTTCACTTCCTTCTTGGTGGTATTGCCGAACACTTCGATCATGGAGAACTGATTAGCGGAAGTGACGCTATTTTCACTTTGCTCGTACACATCCTCAATCGTCAACTGGAGTTCGAATTCGCCGTTCAGTCGTAGCATCTTGCCATCCATATCGCGGAACACGAACATCAATTGATCAAACCGAGTGATCATTGGTATACGCACGTCTTCCACACTTCGCACGTAGTCAGCCGCTGGATCGTCAATGATCATCGTGGTGAGCAGGTTGTTGTTCTGGTTGGCAATCTTCAGGTCCGATGATCGCACCATCGTCGAGTAGACCTGGATCACTTGTCGATTTCGCGTGATATCAATCACGTTCGATCCACTGAACGAAGCAGGTAGAATGACCGTTCGTCCTTCCAAACCGAGGATCTCACGAATGTCAGGTGCATCCGTGAAGTCAATGGTGTGTGGAGACTGAATCCAAATACAACCGAACGACGAGGCATTCGTGGATATGGAGAATGTAGTATCGGTCATGGTATTGACCAAGGCAATGATCTCACTGATCGTGTAGTAACCAGCAGGGATTGTCACAGTCTCGTCATTGCTGTTAGTAATCACATTGGTCGTGTCTACGTTATTAAACATCGAACCATTAGGATGAAACAGGACAGTCATGGAAGTGATGTAAGGATTCTTGTACTTGTACGGATTAACCCATGTAAATGAGCCGTTGCTAGGTGAGCCTTGAATAAGCATGGAGTAGTGCATGGTCTTTCTCTCTTTACCTTAGTCAACAAGACAATGGGGAGGAATCGAAGCAGGGAGAGGCGTAGCCTCTCCCGGGGCAACGAGGGACGACGAAGTCGTCCCGGGGGAGCATAGCTCCCCCACGTAGTTGCCCCATCACAACCATGCATACCATGGCCTACAATGGAAGTCAGGTTAACATTGCAGAAATTTGCCGAAATTGGCAGCCATGGGTTTCCGCGCGTTTCACGTCGTGGTCATCGAGGTGACCAGGTAGACAATGGCAGAAAATGGCAGGAAATGGTCGAAAAATGGTCGAAAATTGATTTCCGCGGTTATTTGGTAGAAAATGGATTTCCGCGTGTTTTACGCCATGGCTATCGAGGTGGTCAGGAAGACAATGGCAAAAAATGGCAAAAAATGGTCGAAAATTGATTTCCGCGGTTATTTGGTAGAAAATGGATTTCCGCGTGTTTTACGCCATTTCCCTACTACTTACTAATACTTTATGTGAAGTGAAAGTGATGAGATTCCAGGCATGTTAGGAGGCCATGAATACTCGATATCTCCATGGATTGTTGTCTTTGCGGATCGGTTCGTAGTCCTCTATCCAGATTCTTGGCAATGTCCATATACCCTTCCTTCGCTCCTTCTCTTGGTATGCTGTGACCCAACACTTCTATTAGACACGCCGAGAACATATGAAAGAAAATGAAATACTCCTCGATCCTCACCCCTGTTCTCTTCATGAGATCTGCATCAACCCCCTCCACAGAAGAGAGAGTAGTCTGCTGCAAAAGATCCCATCCTCCACTCTCGATTCCCCTATCCTTAGTGACCTCCAGTAAGATCTCCAAGCATGTCGATTTCAGCGAAATGAGTGTGATTATTAAAGTGGTCTTGGGTGGATATGAAACGGAAAATAGGAAACTTGAGGTGGGTTTAGACCTTCGTGAAATAGGTTAGTTTAACGATCGGTAGTGGTGAAGTATTGTGGTATTAGAAATCGTATTAAGTAGTAAAGAATTGATGCGTTTTGTACTAATGTGGTAACCGATATTTCGACTTCTCTTGCGCCGTGATGACAATTATGACCCTTTATCGGTCGTTGTAATCGACCAACCGACTTTGAGCCCTCATGGTTCTTAGGCTGCCAGGTCGACAATCATCGGTTAGCAACCAAATTTCGCATAAAACGAGTCATTCCTTTACTACTGAGGATTGGCAAGTGTCAATGCTTTTCTCACAAAAGGCATCATTGACATTTGGGTACAAGCAGTGGGGAACGATTCATCGCACCGACAAAGTAGCGAGGCTGTAAATGCAGCGGACGCCAAAGTGTATTATAGTTATTTCTAATGTCTTTTAATTATGCTTAATTTGTAATGCCCACAAACCACTGTGTGCGAATTATCATCCAAAATCCATCTTTTGTTGTTTGTGCAACTTCTAAGTGTTGTGCTGACATCTGGGCTCTATGGAGCAGAAGTATGGGGCGGAAACAAGGAGGAGGCACAGAAGGTACAAAATGTGCTAAACAAAGGTCTCAATTACATCCTACAAGCCACCGGGAAGTTTTCCACATGCATCCCATCGTTGGAACTGGAGTTGGATATGCCTCCGGTGTATCCTATTCTGGTGTCAAAGCGATTGCGATGCATGTGGAAGGGGAGGTGGTTGAGTCGCACGTTGGGCGATCTCATAGATAGTAGGCTGGAATGGTGGTCAACGAAGAACACCTACCTGAAGACGACGGAGAGGATAGCACAGGAAGTGCTGCAGACGGTAGGTAGAGGGATCATCGATGATCACCTGGCATGCGGTAAGGAGGTTCCGGCGCGGTGGCTAGATGAGAGGCGGAAGTGCCATGTCCAGATGGCATTCGAGATGTGGGGTGGAGAGCCACGAAACGGAAATCCTTTTTCGGCCAGAGATCTGGTACGGAGGATGATTCCACGCCTTTGGATACGCCAGCTGCAGGAGAGCACTGCGCAGTTTCTGATGACATACTTGACAAGAGGACGAGCCATCAACCGGCGCTACCTGGACTTGTGGTTCAGGCATCCGGAGTTGGCTAGAGGGTGTCAGGTAATCCTGGAAATGCGCTGTGGGAGCTGGTGTTGTGTGGAGACGCGCTACCCTAAGCTAGAGGGGCCAGAAGGGTGCAAGTGTCCTTGCTGCGGAGAGTGCGAGAGGGAGACCCTAGAGCACTTCCTCTTTAAATGCCGGAAATATATGAAAGAAAGA